TGGAAGTACGTGAAAGGCATTAAGAATCCTGCTAATTTAATATTGCGAGGAGCCCCGGATCAAGTAATGGATAGTCGTTTATGATGAAACGGTCTCCAATAATTATCCAACATTAATTTGCCGCCGCAAGAGGATGAATCAAAGTGCAAGCTCGATCAGGATGTGCTTTCTAAGATAAAAATCGAAATTAGAAAGGAGTAAAGATTTTGTAATCTAAACATGCAATACTCAATCCCACCAATGGAGATAATACATAAACTTGTTCAAGATTGCTCAATACTACAAAAATAGAGCGGTCTCTCGCTTACTGCTTTAAATTTATCTCCAATTGTCGAAAGAAAGCTGGTAATAAAATTTTGATCAGATTAACGCTTCCTGAACTGATTTTGGTCCATCAAGAGATAATCAAATATCGCAATGTCTCCACTTTCAGGATGATTTGAAAAATTTGCAAGATAATCGTAATCAAATTTCGAAAGGACAATTTAGTGCGCGTGGTTACTGTCCGCATAGCCAGTCTTTAAACGCGCCATTGCTAAACTTTGCAAACTGTTGGTAAGTGACGCGATATATAATGAAGAATAATAGCTTATTCTTGATGGGCAGGATATTAGAAAAGAAGAAGTGTTAGTGTATCGAATTTTTTTTGTTTTTGTTTTCTTTTCTTTTCTTATTTTTGCAGATGGCGATTTCTTATTTATCGAGCCAACCATTCTAGATATTATGCGCCGCGAAATGTTAATAATAATCCCGTGCGATAGATGGCTGGCCTCACGTTTTAGCGATAAGCGTCTTCTTCAAGGCGCGCGTTAGATAGAGAATCGCGAGAATTTCGAAAGTATGCGGATGCGATTCTAAAAGGAGTCAGAACTAATTTTGTAAGAGCTGTAATAAAGACGAGTTTGCAGCAAACAGCAAAGTGTAATCAATTGCCACAACAATATTTTTATCAGCGTCGAGAGGAATCACTTAAATTGGCTTAAATAAGATTATCGTGATCGCAATTCGTTATTATTCATATTCATATTTGAGACTTATGAATGTGAATGTAAAAGAGATTTATTATTTATCATTCACATCGATTCGCTAGCGAGGCAATATTTTAAACAAAATTAAAGAATGCGAATTATAAATTAATTCATTCGCATTACTAAGCTATGCTTTAAAATTCATATTTACTCGTGTATTTCCGATTCATCAGCCCACTGATAAGACTGCTAGTAAAACATGAATTAAACGAATCGCACATGAATAACGAATAAAATCACGAAATAAATCACGAACACTGTGAGAGATTCAACGACCGACAAATCTTATACGAAGAGCGAACTGCGACTTACGAAGCGCGATTCGCACATAGTCTGACGCTAATTTTATTCAGTCGATCTCATGGATGAAGCTGATGTCGCGGTTTCCTTCTTGCGGTGAATGTCGCAAATACGCGAGTTCTGTTATGTAATATGCGATATGTGTTTCTTCTAACGTGAGCCGTAATATAAGAACAGCGATTAACATTAATGATAATATCTCGCGATATTGAGAGTAATCAACCTATATATATAAGCTGATTACTGTGTTTGATAAACTTAGGATATATAATATATATATATATATATATATATATATATATATATATATATATA